TGACTTTGTAGGGGCTCATTTCGGATGGCCATTACTACCTCCTGTTCTTGACTCGAGTGCTGCTTTAGTGTTTCTGTATATATTAACATTAAAAATTCTGCAAACTCTTCAACTTGTTAGCCCACCTTGCTGACATGTCTAGATACACTATATCAGTCCATAATAAGATAATCCACGTCATGAATCAAAACTTTGAACACTTACGTAGAAGGGGGGGCTCGTCGGATAGACTGCTCTGTCGTAGATAGGCAGTCAATGGCCATGTCGAAATTGCCACTTGAGAGCGCGTTCACGGCATTAATAAGCCTCACGTTGGCTTGTTCGTCCTCACTTAATGCCAGTGAGTTTTCGTGACACCAACACAGTAGATTCCCTAATGCTTTTGCATCTCCAGGATATCCTGGGAGCTCCATGTCGATATCAATGAGCATTAGACGCGGCTTGGCAGCCGTTGCTGAAGGCTGAAGGAGCGTGTTCCACGGCCTTATGTCACCCTGGACAAGCTCATACTTCCCAAGGTCTCGAACGCCTCGGACTAGATCTTGAAGTTGTTGAAGTGTAATGGGTAGGTTGCCTCCACTACTCTTTGCCAACGTACCCAAATCCTCGCCGGCATAAGGCATGAGGATGCCCAGAATTGTCTTGGGTTTTGTGGGTTGCCAATCGGCCACAACAACAGCGAGAATGGGAACGAGACAGAAGCGCATGGACATTTCCGAATTGACTTGGTTCACTGGTATCTGTGCCTTGTTTATAAGATCTTTTCGTTTTTCGATTTCGAGCTCAATCGCAACCACATCGGAATCGGTTTCAATGTACTTCAGAACGCAGTCTTGACCTTTCCAAGAGCATCGGTAAACTCTGTGACCCAATGGGTGCGGGTTTTTTATGTCCAAGGCTGTGGACTGGAATGTGTTAGTGGATCTGTGACCGTAAAACAGCATCCTGTTGCGCGGCCATATTCGAATAATGTACGAGTTATCTGGGCAGTCCGTCACATCCGCACTCCATTCATGGTCCGGATCTCCCCTAATGTCAACGTAATTATGTCTGAGATGTTCTTCAATTATGCATGATAGCCACGTTATATCCGTCGTCTTTTCTTCAGCCCCGCCACAGGTTACTTCGACTTCTACACCATGCCAATCGTCGTTGGCTGTATCGTACACCGCCGCAGAGCACCTCCCCCCAGGTCTTGCAATGTGGCCGTGTATTGTAATTTTTGGGGCGCTTCGGCTCGACTCCATGTCCGCGATTTTTTCGGTGATGATGACTAGACGAGCGTGGACGGAGAGTGATAGATGACGAAATCCGTGTCAGCAAATAAATAGAAAAGCAGCGTAACAAAAACTGCAGTTCACTGAAGTAGGCGCTCTGAGAAGCGTGAAACTAATAAAAGGAACAAACTAATAGATTGATATTGTATGTTTTTGCAAACAGTGTGATATATCTCTTTAGAATGCGATCTTATTCGGAAGGAGATGTGCTGCAATTTATACCTCGATCCCCGTAAGTCCAATGTCCTCCGCTCCACCACATACTACAAGAAACACAGAGTAAGTGCAAATAAAAAACGCTTGCAAGAAAGTTAGGAAGGAGGTCAGTTACGTCTGTACCTTCCCGTCTAATGCTTTGCTACCCGAATTCAGACCCCCGTAAACCAAGTCATAAACCTCACGCCTCCGAGTCAATATCTAAAGAGAAGCTCTACTAAAAAGTGCCGTCTATGCAAGCAGTCCTACCGTATTCTTCTAGGTATGGCGGCGGTTTCGCGTATAAATCGAAAATTCTCGACTTGGAAACTCTGGGGTAACTAGACATGTCTTTAATTCTCTGTGACCTAACTTCGCAGGCTGCCCGGTCACCGACAGCATTAGAAAGCCTTAATGTTGCTTTAATAGCCACAGGAATCTTAATGCTCCGCGGGCTAGCTGCATGCAGCATATGGTTCCTGTGCAATCGACGAGGTGGGAGGCCACTTGTGATGGATTCTCACTATCGCAATTCAGGACAGAGTGGCAAATTCTCTCAAGACTGAACAATATTGCCTACGTTCTACTAAGTCTGATGGCCCATACCACTGGATCTTCCTTGTTATGGCTGCCAAGCGTCATGCTCGTCAAAAACTCCATGGTTGCATTATGATGATACTGCAGCGGATAACGTTTAATGACTTCCCGCAGATTGTTCTTGCGTTCCCCCGTACTAAGAAGAAGATTCAACGTATAGCATTCCCTTCCACAGAGTTAGCCACAAGTATGTAGAATGAGATAATCAGAAACTAACAGTGATAGTGTTCGAGCCCGATGTATATTGTCCTGTTGTTGTAGGCAGCCTAAAAGTCGGATGGCCGATTCTATAGCATTTTCAATCACCTCATTCCATTCGATGTTATACAAAACTGGAATGTAGAGTATAGCCGTTAGACGCTTAACTTGAAACTCGTTAGAGCCTGTAAGTATCTTCGTCTTAACGCACTCAATATTCTCAATGTCCTTATGGCTATTATCGGCCGCCCAAAATTCTATTATTTCTTGAATACTGTCAACACACCACAATGTCTCTTGTGCCAGGCTAGGTCCAATACCTGGCAACACATGGTTATTGAGAGTAGCTCGAAT